TGCATTTGGAACTCGTGACAGAGTTAACGACGGAATCATTCCTGGCGGCCCTGAGAAGATTCACCGCTCGAAGGGGAATTTGCTCTCAGATGGTGTCAGATAACGGTACAAACTTCGTCGGAGCAGCAAGGGAATTACGAGAGATTTACGAGTTTCTTAAAAAAGAGCAACAAACCATCGCAGACCACATGGCCCGTCAGAAGATGAAGTGGAAGTTTATTCCGCCAAGATCTCCACACTTCGGGGGCCTCTGGGAGGCTGCTGTCAAGGCTACTAAGAGACATCTAACCACAGTAACAAAGGGCCTGATTGCGACCTTCGAAAAGTACTACACCCTTTTGACGAAGATAGAATCGATCCTCAATTCCAGACCCCTTACCCCGCTGTCCTGTGATCCAAACGATGTGTCGGCGTTGACTCCCGCACATTTCCTTGTGGGGGATTCATTGTTGTTACCGGCGGAGTATAACTATGTAAGTGTTCCAGATCACAGACTCTCGCGCTGGCGTCACTTGCAAAAGGTTCGACAACACTTTTGTAATCGGTGGCAAAAGGAGTACCTGCTGGAGTTGCAGAAGAGGCATAAATGGTATACCAAGAGCGAAAACGTGAAGATCGGTACATTAGTATTGATAAAGGACCAGACACCGCCATTGCATTGGATTCTCGGCCGGATTGTGGAAGTCCATCCTGGAGCGGATGACGTCGTCAGAGTGGCAACTATAAAGACACCGTCGGGGCTGATAAAGAGAGCCGTGAAGAGTCTCTGTCCGTTACCAATAGAAGAAAGTGACATTATTTAAACGATAAGAGAACACCCAGTAAACATTGGATAGTCTATGTATATACATGGAGTGTCCGTAATGTGAAAAAAATATCCTGTATCTATCATGTACATACATAAAATATACAGAAATATATATACATTTATAAAATATTCATAGAATATCGTATGGATATATGTGGTATGTACAGGGATTGAATGTAAGAATTATTTTTAAAACAAAATTTAATCGAGTTATTAAGTCTACTGTACCAACTGATCAATTTGAAGTTTAATTTCGCGTTAAATCTTTATTTTTCCGGATCAATATACAACAGTTATTTTTGATTCATATTTTTAAAAATCATAGATTTATATCTAAAAGTAAAAATTATAATTATTAACCTTTTTCCCATTTCGATAAAAATTAACTGTTAACCTTTGAGCGATTTGTATTATAATTAGAAATAAGAGTTGTTCTGTGATTTTTATTTCTTCTCTCAAAAAATAAAAATCACGCGTGTTTAATTTCTATGTTTACCTGTCGAAAAAGAATCCCAAACGATATTCTAAAGTTGCTATCTTGTAACAAGACATTCTCAGCCAATGTATACGCCTTCTCACACCGTTCTTTGTTCTTTAGTCATCCTCTTTTAATTAAAATTCCAAATTTCAACCTGTCACGTCCGACGAAATATTTTTCGTCAAATGTATCGAGAAAACTTAATAATCGCCCACCCGATAGACAGCACAATTGCGACGCGGCAACTAGCACGCGCGCAGCACGTGATCTCTTATATTATCTCTTCTTATTTTCTCGACTTTAATATTACGATTTAAGTGTTAAATACGCGACACCCGAGGCAGCCACTGTAACAGGCTAACCTTTGGCACCTCCGCTCTCGCCCTAATAAATATATATCTTAACAATTATGTTATTTTCTGAGCTATAAGCTATTAAAGCACTGACATCAACGATTCTCGCGAATGGAACAATCTCCGCGAGAACCGTTGATTACAGCGACGCACGAGGGCGCTACGCGCCTCCACTTTAAAACACGGCGGCAATCTAAGCTTTAAAAACCACGAAAATCATGCGTTTAATATCATTCGCAAATCCAGCAACGGAAATCTAGAATGCTCGGTGTTTACGCGTTTCGGAGCGACATAGCGAAACTCTATGTGGAAAAACAAGAGATCGGTATGTGCGCTAATTACTCGGCAACGCGGGCCGAAATTAAAAGGTAGTAAGTGGGAAACAGATGAGCGGAGGCCTCTTTATAAACTGACCAAGACTCAATCTGTTTGTAGCAGTAATTAACACAATATTAATAAATCAGGAAAATTATCGAAGGGCCCCCGCCCATCACCACTTCCGAACTTACCCTACAACCGAACAGTATATAAGCGGGCCGTCGGAGTCCGAAAATCACACGTTTTTCGATGTTCCACCACGGCGAAACCCGAAGTAAGTGAAATTTAGCGCTTAACAAACATTATTATAACATAATAGCCTAAAGGATTTCCGCACAAATAGAGATTCAATATCGCGTAATAATCTGTGGCCCACGGCAACGACCTCCCAAAACCTCATTTCCTCGACGACGAACCCCCTCGTCTCTCAACAACCACCAGCCAGACCTTCCTTCCTTTTTGCTGAGTGCGCTTCCAACAGAGCGTTCTCTGTCTCCTGTCTTCGGTTGCGCGCCTCCAACAGGGCATTCCTCCGATTTCCACCTGGTCTTGCGCGCCTCTCCTACGGCGTTCTCGACCTGATAACACTACTTTCCTCAAACCGGCATTGAGCATCCGGTCCTTACCACTGATCCTCCACGTCATCGACTCCACTCCTCAGGTCAGAACCCCGCAAAAGAAAGGGGGACCTTTTCCGCCCAATCAACATTTCTGATCCAAATCGTTCCAAATCGTTGTCAAGGCAATTTCGCAGAGTCCTCTCGTACCATAAAGAATCTCAATTTGTTAAACGGCACACAACGAAATAACATACTACTTTAATTCACAAACCTCGTTTTCAGAGTAAATTCAAGATGGGAAGAAAGAAAAATGACATCATTCGTGGAGCTTTCGAATTCGACAGAACACAAAGCAAGTGTAAGAATTGTAATAAAGCTCTTGCTGGCTCTTATTTAACAAATCTTCAGCGTCATCTTAACAAAGAGCACTCAGCTCTTTTCCACAAACTCATGGAAGAGTGTGAACTTGGTGACGATCCTGTCACTTATACCAAGAAAAGGAAAATTGTAATTGAGCTAAGTGAAGAAGAAGTTACAGATGCCTGTATAGATTTTATAACGGTAGAGGGTCGACCCCTTACCTTTCTTGACTCCTCTGCTTTTAGAACATTTTCTGAGCAAATTTTTAAAGGCTTAGAAATGACCATGATCAATTCCCACTCGATTTTGCCATTAATCGAACAAAAGTACGAGTCAATGATAAAAAAATCACTGGAATTTTTTCAAATAGGGTTTTATCCCTAAAGATTGACGCAGCTACGCGTCATGACCGACAACTGTTTTGCGTCAACTCGCAAATAGTTAGGTCTAAGTCTACAAAAATTCAAGTATTCACCCTAGGAGTGATTACTATGGACCGGAGATTGACTGCGGAAAATCTACGCTGTGAGATTGAGAATATTCTTAACAGATTTAACATTAATGTTAACCAGATATTTACTATCACGTCCAATAATGGCCGAAATATGATCAAGGCTACCGAAATTCTTCGGCACGGTGAAAGTGATGACTCTGAAGAAGAGGAGGATTTTCTGAACGCTGCCATTATTAAGTTGAAGTTGGGTACAGTGCAGTCTGTGCGCTGTGCTGCCCATACTGTGCAACTGGCAGTTCATAGTTTTCTCAACGACTCAGGGTCCGA